TTTGACTCGCGTAATGCTGACGTGTATTTCTGTCGTCAGCGCGGTTGCACCCCACCTTGGCATTAATGCGTCCGGTAGTCGAACTCGGTTGTGCAACTACAACGTGAGTCCGCCGCCCGCGGCACCCCGTAGAACAATCATGTCTCGGGTGTCTTTTAGAAAATTCTGCCTCTGTCTGGCGCGTATTTGCACGCGAGCAAATACGGCGGAATCGTTCTGGGGTTCTGTATGGTGCTCGAATCTCGTTTGAAACCAGGAGGCTCAGTCATGTTTTCGGCCAGTCGGCTTCAAGGCTGATACACACATGGCCTCGCTCAAGACACAATGACGCCCCCGTCGTGGGCGCCGAACGCGTGAGCCTCTTGACCGGCTGCCAGCTTGCTCCAACTTTTTTTTATTCATTATGCACCGATATAATCTCTCCCTCTCTCTCCACTGACATCTAACTTCTTTTTCTACTCGGGACCTGGTAAGGGTCTGTCCAGGGCATTAGGTTTTGTGACACCTGCTTTGCAGGCTGTTATTAATAGCCTGCAGTGGACAGGAACATAGTGCCTTTATTTTTACCGGAAGTAAAATGCGTCCTATCGACTTGGAAAAACTGCTATTGCTAGGTGTGCGCTGTACAATGAAATGCACGAAATCCTACGAGCGTTTTGCGGTCCAACTTATTCTGTGATTCCAACCAATGTCGGGCATGCCGATACAACTTTTTTATATTTGGCTTCGTTTATCTAGTCAAGACAGAAAATTTAATTATGCAAAAATTCATACTTTCACGAACCTTCCTGAGGTATATTTTGGATGCCTTCAGGAGTCCGCTATAAAATATCGAAGAGATTGTAGTGGGCAGCCATCATGACCGGTCTGGCGGCATTGTTCAAGACCTCGCTGCCTCAAGGTCATTCACCCTTTGCAGTGAGCCGTTCCAGATGCGCTGACCTGAAGTCACACGACCGACAGCTCGGGCATACCTGCGTCCGCACAGCCGCAGCTGCCCATGCGCTCCACCCCCCCCCCCCCCTGCAACCGCAACCTAAGCCACTGGGACACAACCCCTCGGCAAATGTAACACACACTGACTGGCCACCACTTGAGCTTGGCCCACAAGCCTACAAAAGCGACTGCCACCACTATCTCAGGGACTCTCAGGCATGACTGGACGCAGCCAACACCGGCCCTGGCTTCGCCAGTGGCCACTGCCGCCTGAGAGGATAACTCCGGGTTCTGTGCACAATAAGCCCCCTCATTCTGGTGCCTTCCGTCTCCTTCCAATCTGGGATTTGACCTGATAATTGTAGCTCACAAACTACACACATTCTCACTGCTTGGTCACGACAAGATCATATAGAATTATTCCATCCGGGAAAAGATTGAATGAGGTTCCCGTCAAGGCCTTAAAAAGGTCTATTTGTAGCCACCAACTGCAGCACTTTCTGCACTTAATTCATCCAGTCTGGCAAACGGAGATCTTCTCTTTCTCCCAGTAACCGTGGGGTTCAGTATAGTTTGATATTATCTCTCTACCTCTTTTCAATTCACACTGATGATCTGACGTCGCTCAAGGACTGCATGTATGTTGAGTATGTTGGTGATATGGTTGTTCGCCACTCTTTAGAAAATCAGACTATTCTCCCGTTCCTGAAGGATGGTTTTGATCATATAATTGCATGGGCATTGGAAAATGGTCTTCTGTTTGACTATCAGAAATCAGTCCAGTGTAATTCGACTGCGACTCTTGCCCATTACTGAATACTTTGACGCTCTTTCCAATGAAATATCATCTTCCCGGCACCTTGGTATTACTCTGTCTTCAAATCTCTCTGCCTCCATACCGATATCTTCTTTGTTAAAATTCGTAAAACTGTCTACGGCATGCAACGCCTACGTTCCTATCACACGCCCCTGGCCTTAGGCTGACAGCTTATAGATGCCTGCCTTCTTCCTCTCATTCCTTATAGTACTCCTATCACATTTTCTGCTTTTCTCGGGAAGGATGCGGTCTTCGACTGCTGCCTTCCGCTGTATGTGTTTCTTATGTCATTCCAGTTGATACCATTGTAAGACGACACTTCGTAACGGTCAAGTGATTGGCTGATCGAATTCTGCATGATTTTGTCCGTCTCCTTCACTCTAAATAATTTGTCACAGTTTTTCACCTATTCGCCATGGCCTTTGGCATGTTCCTTGTCGTAAATCGGAATATGGACGTTCTTCATTATCATATCTAACACGGTGGCTTACGTGCAAATAGACTGAAATTCTGAAACTGAGATTTGAACTGTCTCCATAATAGTTTTCCAGCTTTCTTTAAACCCATGTATTCTCTTGGCACTTATTTATTTATATTCTAATCGCCATGGATGGGGGGAGTTTTTTTCCGAAAATTTCGGAACAAGGCATCCAAAAAAGTGTTTTTCTCTTTCATTCTCTCACTGTTTGCTACAGTCTCCAGGAAGAAGTTCGCCTCTACGTGGGCACATCGATTGGCTAGGAATTTTTTTAATGCGCACATTCATTTGCTTTTTCGCAAATTCTGCTCGTTGAAAGCTGGCATTTCTGAGCGCGTGGATAAACTCAAGGTATTACTACATACTTACCACTTTAGCACCAATTGAGCATTATTATGAGTTTTGAAAATGTATTTAGACAATTCAGTCCATCTTTTTCAATATTACTTTTATAAGCAATTGCAATTCTTAAGTTAGCGAGATCGTTTACCGAATGCACAAACATCGGCTGTACTCACCCTTCGCGTTGGTACGAGCACCTTGTTCTACCTGTAGGTCCAACGCTTACCGGCTGAACCATTTCTATGACTGCAAAATGGGTTTGTCGGATGGGCTGGCTGATTGCGTAGCAAAATGACAACTTATGCGGCGTCATTGTACCACCCTTCTCTCACCTCTCCATCAGCCAACAAACCCATGGAGACCTGACTGCAAGAATCAAGTTTAGTATGATATCTTCCTCGTTATCGAACGGGGTCAGATGCTGAAACCCTAAGAAAGTCTCAGGACTGCCTACTTTAACACACAGTTTACGGTGGAAGAGGACGAAAACATGCAGCTGGCCTTCCTTCATGTCCTCACCTACCGCAAAGATTATGATGGTCTAAAAACTAAAGAGTTCAGGCAAGCGGCCAACGGAACGAAATTCGAGTACCAACAGCAGCCCCCCATCAGCCACAAACGCAGTCGCACTAGGGCGCTGTGTCGGCGTGTTGAGACACACTGCAGTGAACCAAAAGAGAAAACTACCAAATTACAATATCTTCGGTGAGTGCTCAGAGCAACTGGCTATTGGTACAATTGCTTACAGACTGACGGTAACTATCTGGCGCTAGGTCATGAAACCAAAGGACCCACTGCCACAGCAGGAAATGAATAGTGCAGTCGTGAGTAAAGAAACTGTGCCGGCAAAACTAAGACACACCTTCGGACGCGAATGGCTGCATGCACAGCGGTAGCACGGTAGTGCGGAGAAATGACGCCAGCTTCCAAGTCGCGGCTCATTCGACAAGTTCAGGTCACACATTCAAGTCCGATGAGGCCGATAGTCTCGCGAGAGGTGACTATCGCGTGAACTGCTTGAGATATGGTCCAGAGGAACCCAGTCTATTAACAAGTGCGGCGACCTCCTCCTCTGTAATAAGTGCCGAGATTTGACCTGGACAGAGTAACTAGCCATGCAGGGAGCTCGCAGAAGAACAATGTTTCCAACACCAGTGTCGGGGAACCAGATGGTAAAGAAATCACGCCAAGATTAGGGGGTAAGTTGTTGATTTTTTAGGTATACAGTAAGACAGTGACCGCTTCCCCTTATGTGTGAATTACCCGTGTCTGATACTGTCTCTGGTGACGGGTCCGAGCATGAATTCGAAACGTTGTGCGAATGAGGTCCCTGTCTCAGGCATCGCGTGTACATCATACCAACTGCTTTCTGGGGTTCGAATTTTCGCTTTTATCGCCAGATCCTGTTGTGTACTGTCCGTCTTTAATTCTGAGCTCATTGCTGACCGGGAATACCTCGGCACCGACTTACTCGAATTGCTATTTAACGTCCACATATTGCGAATTAGCACCAAAACACTTGCCCGCGAAGTTAAATGACGAGCATTTAGGCGGTGTTGGGAATCAGGCCCTGTGAGTGCGGCCCGAGAGATCGCCAGTCGCATGTGCCAGTTCTGCACAGACAACGCAACAGCCACCACTGCTGTGTCATCGACAACCTTGGCTACACGCTGGCTCACAGGTTCTGGCCTTCTGGGAGGATACGCTTGTCTAGTAGCCAGCCAATCACAGCGAAGGGGGAAGGCGTGTAGTTGGCGCCTGTCTGCAAAGTTGTAGGAACGAGGGCGCAAAACCGTCGAGAGGGCAGTTAAGGCGCCGTCACTGGAAGCGACATGGGTGCAGTATTGCCTGACAAGACAGTTATGAAGGCATTCAGACACTGGTTGAGCTCTGTCGTAATGCAAGGGCCAGTCCAGATCGCTCAGGTATGTCCTGCACAAATAAATTAACTCACCGCCGTTGTACCGTTTCATGTAAGAAAAGAGATGTTGGTTGACCATATTTGCACATCTCTGCAGAGACAAATGCTCATCTGAGGGAAACTAATAAATATATTTATTTATCAGATTGAGCAAGCAGTTGTGGATTAAATTGAAAGGTGTGTAGTCATTAGGAAAGATGCTAATGGAGACCTTAGTGAATGAGTTTATGACCTGTCGCCTACTCAGATGATGACAGAGAGCTACTGTGATTCTTTTTTATTTAAACAGGCAGGCCATTTTATTCCAAAAACCCCAAAATGACGAAACGAAGTTAAGGCATGACCTTTCAGGAAAAATCTATCCATAAGCAAAAGTGTGCGATAAAATGAAAAAGGGGTTTATTATTTTCCTCCAAAGACATTCTAATTTCCGTACAATCTAGTAGAGAAATAATTTTTTCAATGATGTATTGTTTTCATGATCCGCCGTTTTTTTCGGCCTGCTTTCAGTACTCGTCATGGAACGGGTATTCCGGGTGCTTCGCGATGCTAGGAAGGTTGGTGAGTATTGGAGAAAGCAAATTTACCAAGGTAAGGAGAAGAGTCGAATGTTTTTCCCACTCGTGCTCAGGATTCGCATCTCATCTTCCGTGAGTTCGAAGTCGAAAACCTGCAATGGGATTTAAATAGCTAGCGTATTTAGACTTTCGCTACGACTACTATTAGAGTGGATTATAAAATCACGTGTGATAAGTTAGGTAATCCCCTAAGAGTTGTCGTGACTTACGTCAATATTTTGTCTGATGCGTCCAGCATTTATGCTCCCAGGTATGACTATAAGTCCACGCTGCAAAGCATGGCGAAGGAGCACTTGGGCTGGCGTTTTAGAGTGCGCCTCTGCAATCTTAACCACGTAGTCCTCTTGCAGCGGTGATGGGATAGGTGTGGGTCTAAAAAAGTAAATCAAGAACTAAGGCATGAAGTTGTTCCTGGACACACTGAAACCCCGTGCGTTAAAAGCTCACGTAAAATTAAACATCACTTTTCTTAATGAACTAGGATGGCTGTTTTTTCCTAGCAACCTTGTCAAACATAACCAAAACCCCCTACGCATACTTCCAATAGAAGAGAATAGAAAAAATAAGTACTACTCCTTCAATGGGCCTTTTTAAAACATATACAGTCGGTGGCCCATCTCAAGCGATGTCAACTAAAATTATAAAATGTACTTTCGATTAGAAAAAACTGCTTAACTGGAATCATATTTCAGACAAATCAGAATGTTAGCTCTTGAAAGTATTTCTTTTTGGCAGCCTGCAAAATCCGTAGTACGTATAAAAGTGACCACTTGAGTAGCATGATTTTTCATTTTGATTTTCAATGCCACTATTTGTTATAATATCTTTTACAGAAAATATAAACAAAAATAATCAGTTTGTATTCATTTGTGCAGGAAATCACGCCTTTTTAAATCGAATATCCGAATAAAAGGCATCTTTTGGCGTTCAAGAACTTTATAATTATGAGATTCTTTCAAACCGTTAAATTTCCACTTTGATAACATGTTATCTTTCCGTTTACCAATGCTCGTCATGAGGTATACCGCAGAGTCAGCATGAATTGTAAAGTGCTATGAACCCCATATTATATCACCTTAATGGCATAAGATAATACTTGGCTTTCCTTACACAGAAGGTGTACCCATGGTAGACGGAAAACCTGAGACGGAAATGCAACGGGAGATCGGGATCAAAATGATGTGTGAAATGGAAAATCTTCTAAGGAACCTACGAATAACTTTCCTGCGATTAGAGTTTGAAGAATATGTTATTTGATAACGAATGAATATGAGGAAGTATATTTTTGTTTATGGTTTCTTTGAAATATATCTGAATCTATATGAACATCGAAAGCCAATATAAAAGATGCAAATTGATTAAATAGTCACTTTAACTTCAGTTCGGTTTCTACGACGTGAAGACATTGTACGAGGCAAAAACGAATCTTGGCACGTCTGAAGTATTTTGGAATAATGTTGCATAACAAAAAAACAAACTTAAAAACCTAGTTTCAAAACTCATTTTAAAATTTTAATCAACATTTTATGGGATCGGTTACTGGCTGTACATCCACTTTACTCAAACAATTTGAAAAAAATAAAATCCGACAGTCCACCGGAAAGAAAAGGAAACTTGGTAACAGTATTTCGAAAGTGACATACCGAATAAAAACAGGCGAACCAAACGGCGCGTATGCGGTCACTTTGATGTCTTTGCTTTTCGCGTACTCCACCATTTTACTGTTCATCCAGTTGACGGAGACTTCGATCTGGTTAACAACAGGCCTTATGCGGCACACTTTAAGAAGTCGTTCGATCTGACTTTTGTTGAAATTTGATACACCAATAGACTTGACGAGTCCTGCGTCAACAAGCTCCTCCATGGCCTAGAACAATTTAGAATCATTTTAGCAATCATTAGTGGTCAATATCTTACTGGTTTTCGTCCTATACCAAATTCGTCGTCTGAAAAGGCAGAGAACTAGTGATCCAAAGGCTCTGAACAGCCTTGACCCAAGGATAATAATAAAAGCGCTGGCTACATATAATCTTCCAATTTCTTTACATGCTGGTAGCCTACACCGATCCATGATGCAGGACGGGAAAAATCTTTACTGACTTGTCTTTAACTGATAAACAAGGCCGCACACATGAGATTCGAACTAGCCAGTTGAACATGCGACATCCCACTAATGAACGAACTGGCTTGCCTCAGACTGACCGAAATCAGACGTGCATCGATCTATCCTGATTGCAGGCAAATAATTCGTAAACTGCTACTCAAACGCCCCATGCGTTGTCTGTGAAGACTTAGAATAACTTACAGAAGTGACTGGAACGAAGCGTTGGCATCCACGAACTAACAA